TGAAAGTCATAACTGCATTCTTCTCTATATTTGCGAGTTCCTTTCTCAACAAAATGATCAGTGATTTTCCGAGCTGTGGTATCTACGTAATCCAAAACCCTCCGAATCCTCAGCAATGTCTTCAGAATGACAACCAAACACTCTCAAATGTTCGTATTGGAGCTTAAATAAGCTTAAATTTTAAAGGCAAATTTTATGATTTAAGCTTCGGTTTCGAAACAGTAATTTCTGTGTCGCAATGGAGATATATATTTTTTTAAATATATATATATATATATATATATATATATATATATATAATGGACTCTCCCGTCAGTTTCGACGTATGAGGATCTGACTGCGTATTGATTCAGTTATGAAAGTTTGTGCGATAATATTAAGTGACATTTAAGACCCGCTAGTGATTTACAAAGGAGGCCACATAGGGAGCAAGTGTGAGGATTGTGAGTTGAAATCACTGTTAGATTGGCTGACCTTTTAAATTTTGCTCTCGCTTCTTTGAAAATGATTCCCGCAAAAAATTGAAAATGCTGAGTCCACTAAAACAAGTTGATCTCCATTCTGTACGTTCCAAAGCTAAATGCGCTCAACGGAGTTTTGTGGTATATTGACTGCTGACAAGTTGCTTTTCAGCTTGTCTTTGTATCCCAGCCTTGGGCGTCCTATATTCAATATATATATATATATATATATATATATATATATATATATATATATATATATATATTGTCCACCCCTGGTAATTCTTCTAAAATTGGCCCCAAAAATAGTTGATTTCTACTTTATATTAGAAAAAAAAATTATAAATGAATAAAAAATAGTGAGACATTACTTTTTATTAGAAATGTCATTACGACAAGAAGAAAAAAAAATAACTCCATGTTTAAATTTTGATCTCGTCAAATTATCCTCCTTTAGACTTGATTACTGCCGCACAAATGTCTGGCATTCGTTGCGAAAATTTCTCAAAGTATAACTTTGGTAATTGATTCCATTCTTTATTCAATGACTCTCAGAGATCATTTTTATTTTCACTCTTCTGTCAAGTTCGTCCCATTTCTTATATTTCTCTACATACATAAAATCCAATCTTAATGTACACGATTAATTTATAAGATGTGTGTATATATAATTTTACCTTTACAACTATATTCGATATATAGCCCCAAAGCTATTTTCTTTTTTTTTTATTTGTACTCCTATATTGTATTCAGACTTTGTTTTCTAGTTTAATTTAGTTTGTATAACTAGGGTAAGTTATGTAAAAACAAGAGAGTTATCTCCTTGAATATATTGTTTAATTCTGAATCCAAATTTAAATTTAAATAATTATTTATTTTTCATTTTTTTTTAACTCTTTGCCTTCCGAACTGAACAATTTGAACGATATAAATTATTAAATGTTAATTCTAATATGTTGCTCAACAATATTTAAATAAACAAGTTTTAACACACAGTTGTGAATCATCACCAGGAGAACGCGAAGAGAACATATTTGCTTTGCACCTGAAGATTGCAATAACTGCATGAAACTGGTGCTATCGACGTTGGATATTATGTATATTCGATAATAATTAGGCAGTGGTTAGGGTTTGGTTTGTCCATCACATTGAATTCGATTGGTGCTATATAGGGTGCCTATTTTACAAACTACAACCACTGGCTACCTGAAGATCAGGTAGGTAGGCAGTTGGAATTGGCCACGTGCTAAGCTCTTAGCCGTTGTCGAACTCTCTGCATTCGGGCAGAGAGGAACTCGACGAGGCTATTCCGAAGGTCAAAGTCTCTGCCGGGAAGGAAGACAGACCTGACCCATTTATACGTGGTCTACGGAGAATTTTTGACCGAACCTACGGGCTCGTATTCCTCCACATTAAATACGGCCTTGTTCCACATTCTACCTCGTGGAGAAGTTGGTAAATATTACTGGCTACCTGACGATCTGGTAGTTAGGCAGCTGGGGGTGGCCGCGTGCTGAGCTCTTAGCTGTTATAGAACTTTCTGTTTTCGGGCAGAGAGGACTCCGGACGAGGCTTTGCCGTAGGGCAGAATCTCGTCTGGAAAGAAGACAGACTCGGCCCCGTTCATATGGGGTTTACGGGGAATTTTTGACCGAGCCTACGAGGTCGGATTGCCCATTAAATTCGGCCTTGTGTGGTAACTTACCTCGTGGGGAGGTTGGTAAATATTACTTCACGACTGACGATTGCGTACAAACGCATGAAACTGGCAGTCGTGGCCAGTCACTGCCAACCTGGATTTATATATATATATATATATATATATATATATATATATATATATATATATGTTTTCTATTTCCTCCTGGCCCTTCCCATCACTTGCATTGGCTTCTGTCTCGTTTCGGCGTCCATGACCCCTAGCTAGTTAGCATTAGATTTCATAGTTATCAGGTATATATTGGAGATAAATTCGGTACACTTCATTGGGTTGATTGGATCTGTATTGCCCTGCAGTTTTCTTTTGTACCACTATGCATTTCTTCAGTCCAGGTTATTATCTGAAAAACCATGTTGCAAAAAACACAGATATTGTTTGCATGACGATGAGAGAAGTTGGCACATTTGCATTGCTTCTTTTTGTATGCATGCATGTTTGTTGATTTTCTTTAGTGTCATATCAACCGCGATGAATTATTTAATGCCGAAATCTACACATTTTGAACACAACGTTTTGCCTTCAACTACAGATATTTTGTACATAGTTTTATGCATTCAGAGTAAATGTATATTTATTCTTAGATATATAGTGTGTAGATAAAATATATTGCTGCTACTTTTTTAAAAGTTATTTCAGATATGTTCAGTACAAAAATGTACTGTTGATAATTTTGTTATAAAAATGTACAATTGACATTTTTTAGATGGAGGTCACTATTTGCCCATATCTGGGACCCTAACAGGTGTTATTATTCCACTTCCAGTTGGATCTGGGAACAACAGCAATTAAGAGGTGCTATCAAGCTCCTCAAATCATTCTATTTCCTGATCAGAGGCCTTGCTGCTTGATGTAATCTACCGTCATACCCAGGACGTCATACATGCACGCATCTATACATACGTACACACATAATAGCTTAACGCCGTAACATATCTTTCCTGTGATTTTTCTGTAAATATTTTCATAGCAGTTGATGAGCTTTTCTCCTTCGTACTTCGACTTTCGATTAGCGGCTAAGTTTGGTAATTTTGCAGTTAAAATTCCGACATGTAACTGTTATTTCTTTTCTCATTTTTGTTCTCTCGCACTTATGGAAGTCGCTTCCTGTTTCCAGATTGATCAATTTTGATCTTTAAAAATTTAAATGCAGTGTCAATCCTTATGTCTCCTAAATTCTTATTCTTTTAATTGCTGCCATCATTAATAATGAGTTTTTGTCAGATTCTTTCATACTCAGTACCGTCTTGAAACTTTATCCCTTTGCTTCGAGTGAAATTAATTTAAAAAAGAAAAAAAAATGACCCGAAAAAAAAAATCTGCACCTTGATTGTAAAAGTAGTAATTGGCAAACTCGTTTGCAAAACTTCTAGATTATACTGTAAGACTCACGTTTGAAAAATCAATATAGATCTCACCAGCGATAAGGTAATCCACAATAAGTTATGGAAATGGTGTGTTCGATCACGAACAACTGCTCAGCATATATAATCAGTGAAAGTTATCAATCCGATTAAATAAAACTGTCCAAATGACCAAACGGAAAAATTTGTTTGGAAGACCTTACCAGATCTTTTTCACCTACCTGTTTTAAAAACAAGCACGCTCGCATACATACAAAGAAACATACAACACGCGAAGAGTTCTCGAGTCGACAAACCTAATTAAATATGACCAAATGGCGTTCTTGATATAACACCACTCATTTATGAAAAAGGTTCAATGTATGTCCTCTTAATCCCACAATTCAAAAATCGAAACGCAAAGTATTCGTTTTGAACGCCAAATTCGTAAAAAAAATTAATACCTCATCATCAAAAACATAAAATGTGACGCCTCACAAGGGCAACTAGAAGCATGGCTTCGTTCACGGAAATGAAAAATATGTTTACGTCTCAGCAACCTACAGAGACTTTTTTAATATCGCAACAAAATTACTTGGAAATTACTAAGAATTTAACCGAATGGGCAAGTAAAAAAAAAACTGTTTTGTACAATTTTCCTGTACACTAAATCCCAAAAACCAATGTCTAATTTACACACAAGAAAGACAGGTAAAAAATACAAAGATATATTGTCAGTCATTTTTACAAATTATGTATTAAAATGAGATTACTGCAGAATACACAACTTATATATATATATATATATATATATATATATATATATATATATATATATATATATATATATATATATATGCGTGTGTGTGCGTATGTGTGTGTTTTTTATATATATAGATATGTATGTGTGTGTGTGTAGATAGATATAGATAGATAGATAGATGAAAGATAGAAAGAAAGAAAGAAAGAAAGAAAGAAAGAAAGAAAGAAAGAAAATTGTGTATTTATGAACCTTTGCAAGAGTTAAAATTTTGAAGTGTTGTTATAATGCCTGCTTACTAGTTTGGTCTCCACTCAGCTGACCTCACGTAATAACTGTATTGTATAAAAAAATGTTTCGATAACTACCAATATATATATAAATTTTCCCTCTTTTTAAAGGTTCATTCGCAATTTGGAGAAGATATACAAACTCAATTGTAACTAAATGTCAATACTTTTTAATAAACTATGTTTTAAGGAACTCTTGTTGTCTAACTACACTAAGTCTGTCTGCCTATCTATCCATTTATCAATATATATATATATACATATATGTGTGTGTATGTGTGTGCGTGCGTGCGCGCGTGTGTGTGTGTCTGTGTATCTGTGTGTATCATATCTATTCAACAAACAAAAATATTGATAAAACTAAAACAAATCCAAAGGAATTAAAAAAAGTTAAAACAGAAACAAATATATCAAAGCAAACAGACATAAATGGGGAAGAAAAGACCAAAAGAATACAGTTACATAAAAAGCACTCACTCACTCACTCACTCACACTCTCTCTCTCTCTCTCTCTCTCTATCTATCTATCTATCTATCTATCTATATGTGTGTTTGTGTGTTTATAAAATTATGTATAGCCTAAGATAGATAGATAGATCTGTAGAAATGGCTGGTAAAAAAAGCTGTAAGATCAAATATTCATTTTTTCGAAATAGTCCAGTTTTACGAAGTTTCTCGGTCCAGAACCTCCCTCGAAATCCCTCATTATATATATATATATATATATATATATATATATATATATATATATATATATATATATATATATATATATATATATATATATATATATATATATATATATATATATATATATATATATATGTATATATATATAATGCGTCTGCATAGAGAACTACCAATTCCGTTCGTCTTTTCTCGCTGTTAAACACACACACACACACACACACACACACACACACACACACACACACACACACACACACACATATATATATATATATATATATATATATATATAATGCCGTTTAAAAAAGCTGTTAAAATCCCAGGTATTTTTCTCTATCCTTTCGTTTCTTTGTAAAATCTCAGAAATATTTCGTAAAGGATACATATGCTTAAGTGCCTTGCATCACCACCTAAGCAAACACGAGATGGAGGGGGAGAATTTTCTTGTTTTGCAGTTTTATATATTCATAAACCGTGAGATTTCTTTTTTATTTTCGTTATTCCTATGATGCTTCAAATGTCAACATCCTCGCTGGCAATGGTTGGACATTCTGAATGACTTGAACAAAAGTGTGTTCTTAACAATGGCATATATCAATATACAACCAGGATGAAAACATACATTTTTATTTTCTTCTTTCAAAACATTTATTATCCTACGTGATTCAAGACGTGTGAAATGAAATAAACAAAGTTACAAATATGTGTAAGAATTTACAAACTGTATCCAATGGATAAACATTATGAGCTTTGAGTTTCTAACATCGATTTATCATAAAAGAACTTTAATATATTAGTGACGTTTCGACGGTTGTACTTTCTGGCCTTCTTCAGATGATATGCGCTGGAATTTCGGGCTGAACCCTTCATTTAGTCCATTGGGGTAGATTGGATGTCTCTGTTTCAGTTATTTCCCTTCTCTAACTCAACATCCCAATTATTTATTCACCTCAGCCATGTATTGAACGCGAAACTCTTTGTGTCGTGTAACTGGATTACCTCAACCAATGCTTTTACCCAGTGGGCCATATACACACATTTGCCCTAAAGGGAAATAACTGAAACTGATATATCCAGAAAAAGGCATGGCGCGTGGAACTAAAAAAAGTCTCGGTTCGAAATTCCAGCGGATATCACCTGAAGAAGGCCGAAGTCTACAACGGCCGAAATGCTGTGCATATGAAAATAAAGATGAGGATAACAGTCTGAATATAAATATAAATAAATATAATATGAATAGTGCAAATAGTTACAATACCTTATCTCAGAAATTGAATATACAATTTCTTAACTTAAACATGTCTGTAATCTATTTTTCTATTAATTATATGAATATAAGATACGATTTCTTTTATTTCAGTTATTTACCGTATATAGCCGGTCTGACTCACGACTTGAGTAGACCAGGTACCACGAGCGCCTATTGGGACTTAAACTCCACTCAGACCTCAAGTAGATGTCATGGATACGTTCAGTCACTGAAGAAGCTGAAAATAAGGTTGGTTCCCTGTATTGCTCTGGTCTGTACATGACTCCCCGTGCTATTCCCTATCATTACAAGAGCTAGATCAGGCATAAAAGCAGTGCTTCCATATATATTATTTGAATAGCTCAGCAAATGTACGATAAATATCCTCAACAAAAGAATCGCTTATGTCACAAAAGTGCAAAATGGAAAAGAATGCAGGAAACCTCATTTAAAACAGAAGGTACCCTTTTTAATGACGTTCATGAAACAAGAACCATTTAATGTGGTCGAGATATAAAGCACAAACTTGAACATATGAATGATTAATCCGCAATTATTATAATATATAATTATTATATAACATTTCTACACATACATAAACATATATATTTTTTTATTATTATTTCATTTTTCAGGGTTTACAGGGGACACGCAGAGATGAACGCGCAAACAGCTACACATACACGTGTATATATATATATATATATATATATATATATATTATTTATTTAAAATATGATTCCAACGCTACATAAGAGTTCTCATGTTTCAAAACAAGAGCCGAAAACTTCAGTATAATTATTTGAATTAAATTGAATTAAAGTACTATGCTCTGTTCCATCTTCAAGCGAAATTAGTACTTTAATTCAATTTAATTCAAATAATGTAGCGTTGGAATCATATTTTAAATAAAAAAATTATATTTATGCACTACTTTTGTATCAAGCTCTATTTTTTTTTAAATAATAACAAAAATACTAAAGAACTTTGGATTATTTACCATATATATATATAAAATAAAACATTTTAATAAGTTTTGGGAATATTTCCATATATTTTTATCGTCAGCGAATTTTTGGAGGTATCTATCTCTATCGATCTCTCACTTTATATATATATATATATATATATATATGAGTGTTTTTGTGCTTGTGTGAATCATCGATGGACAATATGTAAAAATATCCTTAGTAAAACATAACCTCCGAGTAGAAATGTCTTTAGACCAGTCATTATTAAACGTTATACTTACAATTATAGTGCGGGAGAAATATTAAAAAGAAAACAACTCGTTACAATTGTACATTAAAAAGAAAATCTCTTCAAGTATACAGGGACGCTCAGTGACAAATTATAATTTTTGACGGTTACTCTGACTAGATGTTCAACTTCACAGATTTCATTACACATTCCATCGTTTTCGCTAGGATTCTTGTTTTTTCCTGCATTGTTTTTATCTTATCAGAATGACTTTTGTGTAGAAAGGATGGCTGTTGTGCTATCCAGCAGTACGCTTACTGACGAATATTCTGAAATTACAGCACTTTCTATACATTTATACTTCATTTTTACTTACTTTCAGTTGGGAACCGTCTTCAAGAAAAAGATCACGATTACGCAAGTCACTCTAGCAGAAATCTGGAAACGGCATGATGTACTGTGTGGCTTCCGCGCAGGAATCTCCAATACGAACATTTCAGAGTGTTTGAGGACAGTGCAGAGGATTCGAAAAGATCTGGATGAGTCTAAGGTAATTACGAAGTGCGGCAGCTCGGATGAGACTCACTCTGATCGTTCTGAGTAAAAGGTAAGAACTCAGACTGAACATGGAAACTTACATCAAGTACCTTGAGGAAGGAGTTTAGCCTGAATAAAAAGGATGGCTTCTGGAGGCACTATATCTGTCAACAAAACTCTGAACCATACTACACAAGCAGAAGTACCCTGTCATGACTGTCAGACAATTACTGCTACCACATCACCCCTTACATGTGGCTACCTAACTCACTAGGCTGCAACCCCGCTTGATTATTATATATGGAGCGCAGCTGAACAAGAGGCTAACAAATGTCTTTGTAACATCAAAGATGAACTGAAAGCAAAGATTATGGCAGCATTCACCAACTTACACAAGGAGACAGTCCAGAAGAAGCGCAGGTGATTCCGAACTCGTCTGGAGGACGTGGTTATAGACAATGGCGATTTTATTGAATAATTACAGTTTTTAGTATTTCAAGGTATTGTTGTGCAATTTTGTTAAATATATCAGTTAAAACGAGATGATAGCGTAATTTTCATATTTGCGTATTTCAGGCGACAATTTATCAATCGCACCCAGTTGAACATGTGTGTCAGTGTTTGGTTCAGGTACCGTTACAGCTCAACACCAGATTCGTTTTAAATATCCTTACGCAGACATGTATCAATAATATATAAAAGAGTGTTTGAATAATTCACGGGACTGACATATTGTTATTAACTGTTACTGATCTTAAATATATTAGATATGCTAACATATATTTATATTTGAATTAATATCCTGGCTCTATCATTCGACTTTTCTCTTCTATATCTATTTGTCGCCTCATTCATCACACACACACACACACACACACACACACACACACACACACACATATATATATATATATATATATATATATATATATATATATATATATATATATACAATAAAATCCCCTGCTGTGCGCCGACGACTTAGTGGTAGAATCTCCGACTGACGCCAATTCAGTCGGATTTCGATCCTAGCTAGAGGGAACCGGATGTCTAGCCACACTGAAGAGCTGTGATACAGCGAAAGAGTCTGTCTGTCGATGACTTTATATAGGCTCCTGAAAAAATTAATTTCAGTTGAGCTCTCTGGGGAAGAGGTGTGAGTTTGTAAACAGTGACTATTATGGCTGATATAGCGAGACTCTTCGGCAAAAGCGAATTGAGCCACTGTCGGTGATTCTGTGTGTTTACCTAAAAATAAATACGCTAAAATTCACCTTCATCCCTGCCGTGCTTAGTGGTAGAATCTCCGACTGACACCAATTCAGTCGGGTTTCGATCCTAGCTAGAGGCACCGGATGTCTAGCCACACTGAAGTGCTGCGAAACTGTCTGTCTGTGGATGACTATATATATATATATATATATATATATATATATATATATATATATGGGGGGGTTGTATGTGTAATGCTGAAAATTATAGTTTTAAGCCATGGTATGTTTTGGGGTAAAATACTCAATATCAGGCTGGAGCCTATGTAAATATAAAAGTGGACATTGAGGTTAACACGGAGAGGAGACAGTGTTTCATTCTTGAACCCACGTTGTTATTATTATTATTATTATTATTATTATTATTATTATTCCTCTTCTTCTCTCCCACGTAGTCGTTCAGATAACGGATCACGCTAGATAACAAGCTCTTTCCCAGAAACTGTAACTAAGGTCTGCTCAGAATAGTTGCAGTATAAACCACAAGTAGATTCTGTGGGTGGTGAACAAACAAAAGCGAGCCTGAACGTGCGTCTGTAGTAGGTATTGGTAGCCGCCCTAGTAGACGAAGATCCTCGAATACGACTGACCAGCTATTA